CTCATGCGCCAGCTTCCCACGGGAGAGACGTATCTAACAGGATTATACTTTCTGCGTGTTTGTTTAGAGAGAATTGCCAGTGAGTGTGTGAGAAGTGAGAATGGGGCCACAGATACTTTCAACCATAAAGATTTTAAAAAATAATAATGTGGCCCTAACTGGTTTGGCTCAGTGGATAGAGCGTCGGCCTGCGGACTGAAGGGTCCCAGGTTCGATTCCGGTCAAGGGCATGTACCTTGGTTGCGGGCACATACCCAGTAGGGGGTGTGCAGGAGGCAGCTGATCGATGTTTCTCTCTCATCGATGTTTCTAACTCTCTAGCCCTCTCCCTTCGTCTCTGTAAAAATCAATAAAATATATTTTTTAAAAAAATAAGTAAAAAATAATAATGTGGGAGAAGTGAGCGGGCTGGAGCGGGCGGTTGTCTAGACTCCTGTTCACGCTACATCAGCCTGGACTCCGTGCGCTTCCCCACTCGGGCGGTCCAGGCAGCCCCAGGGCCCAGCCACGGCCACCAACTCCTCCGAGAAACGGTTTGGTGGCACGTGGCTACGGATCCTGCTTCCTCCGCTCTTGGGAGGAGCGAACCCTTTCATGACTCTAACGGGCCGTGCGGGGGCGCATCCCCGCGTCGCTCAGAGCCCCTTGCATTAAAGCAAAGGAGAAAGCGGGTGGGCCCGTGTGAATGGGAGGCCGCTGCCGGCCTGGCGGTGGCCGGGGCCAGGCCAACGCCTGCCTTCGCCCAGGACCTGGCTGGGCAGGAGGGCACAGGCACCCCACGCCACTCCCGGAGGCACGAGGGGAACGCCCGCAGCTGGGCCCTTGCTGTCGGGAAAAGCTCTCCTGCCCACGCGGGGGCTGTCCCGGGAATGACCAGACGAATTAGGGAAAAGCAGCCGTTCAGGCGTCACAGACAGGCTCGGACCAGAGGCTGTGAAGGTGGAGGAGAGCACAGAGCCTTTATTGAAGTGGGCTGATGAGGCGTGAGCGGGGCGAGCCCTGGCGGGCAGCGGGGCGTAGAAATGCGATTTATAAAATTTTCAAGGCAAACGATGGGCATCTTGAAGACATAACAGAGCAACCAGCCTCAGTGGGGCCTCTCTTGGCCGAGATAAAGGGAACAAACTCTCCCATCTCTACCACATGTTTCTCAGAAAACTATTCAGTTTGTTTCTCAGTTTTGATCCCCGGTGCCCGGGGTGCCGGACCTCGGGACGTGTGGGGATTTCGTAAATCGTTTGTATCAAATCTCTTTTTGCTTTTTCTGGTAAACTCCTTCGCGCCTCGGCAGCGGTAACTAGACAAGACTGGGGCGCTCGCGAGACGACTCAAACCTCCAGCACCTCCCAGGAGTCCGCGCTTCTGAGCACAGAAGGCAACGCTGATCGGAGGAAATAAACAAGAGGTTATTACACACAGACACGGGCTCGCCACGCCTCTAACGCATCGCATCTAGGAAGCCTACCGCGCCTTCCGTCCGGGACCCCGGCCGCCCCCTCCCGCCCCGCCAGCAGGTGCGTGCGAGAGCCCGTGCTCTCACAGGGACAACGGAGGCCTGGGGCGGGCCTTTGGGTTCCCTGGGGCGACAGGGCTTGCAAGACTCATGTTACCAAGGGACCCCTGGGCGCCCTCTGTGGAAATCAGAGAGGGGGTCTTGAACCTCGGGGCTCCGTGGAGGGACAAAGAGACGCCGCAGGCGAGCGTAACCAGACGCACTACTGACGGGACATGGGAAAGCGCGTGGGTGGAACCCGGCCTGGACGGGGAGGGCAGCTACACGCAGGGAAGGCGCCGACCACCAAGCATCTCTCTCTCATCTCAGAGGTGCCCCTGCCTTGTCCACGGGAGACAGGTCCGAACAGCCTTCCCCAGGCCTCCCCCGACCCACACCCACCGTCCAGGTAACGGCCAGTTTTACTCCACAGCTGCCCTTTACATCAGCACCTTTAGGATAAACCAAGACTCCAGCCTGGCCGGTGTGGCTCAGGGGTTGAGCATCGACCTATGAACCAGGAGGTCAGGGTTCGATTCCCGGTCAGGGCACAGGCCCAGGTTATGGGCTCGATCCCCAGTGTGGGGTGGGCAGGGGGCAGCAGATCCATGATTCTCTCTCATCATTGATGTATCTCTCCCTCTCCCTTCCTCTCTGAAATCAATACAAATATATATTTAAAAAAATAAAAAAAAGATAAACCAACACACCTAATGAATTCACCAGACTGCCGGCCTGGCGGAGACCTCGCTGGCATCCGGCTGCTGTGGGAGAGGGAGCCATGGCCACAGGGAACTCACGGACTTAAGTTAAACGGAAGAGGATGTGCAAATGCCCAGCAACGCTCGGCGAAACGCGCAGGTGGCGGCCACCTGACCCCCTTGCTGTCTATCACCTGCTCCTGCGACATCCCGGCATTTCTCCCATCAAACCAGGGGGCACCCCCAGTCCGTAACCAGCACAGGGGTACACCCCCTCCACCCCCTGGGCACCCTCTCTCCGCAGCGCCATCTCCTTCCGCTGGTGGGCGATGGGCCAGGTTCAACCTGACAGCACAGACTTCAGCCGCAAATGCAAAGGCCGAGAGCTTAAGAGGGAAAAAAACGTGCCAGGAAAGAGCAAGCCAAACACGAGCCGCTTATCAACTCGGAACCGCACTGGAGTAAATATTTGACTCTCGATAGCAAACAGGCCCGTTTCTAGGCAATTCTCCTGGTTAATAATTCTGTCAACATCCAATTCATTGAGCTCATTATCTCTGATGAAGAGACGGGGCCTCAGGTGCAAAGTCAACACGCCTCACGAGGACACGCCTCACGAGGACACGCTTCACGAGGACACGGCCCACGAGGACACGCCTCACGGGGACACGGCCCATGAGGACACGCCTCACGGGGACATGGCCCACGAGGACACGCCTCACGCGGACACGGCCCACGAGGACACGCCTCACGCGGACACGGCCCACAAGGACACGCCTCACGAGGACACGCCTCACGGGGACATGGCCCACAAGGACACGCCTCACAAGGACACGCCTCACGAGGACACGGCCCACGAGGACACGGCCGAGTTTCTGTGCCACATGAGTGACGTCACACTAGGACCTGGCTTGTCGTGCTGAGCACCAAGCAGCATGCTAACGTGTTCATAAACGTGAACACGGATTCTGCCCGCCACGTCCTGACAGAACGCAGGGCCTTCGCCTTGCGGTGTTGAGGCCGGGAAGGCACCTGCAGGCACGCTCAGGCCTGTGGGTCTCCACTGAACGTGGCATCTCCTCGTGAACAGCGCACGAGGGGAATCGGGAGGAAGCGTAGCTGTGACACGTAACGTTCCTCCTCAGGTAAGTGTCACAGAGCCGTATAGCGGACGCTTTGCTCACAGGCGCCCCGTGGGAAGGCTGCCCCCGGCCCCGGCGGGCAGGGCAGTGGGCGCGGGAGCCGGCGGGATCAGCTCTCCCGGCCGTCATCGTGGGCCGTCGGTGTCGGTCCCGGCTGGACTGGCAGCGCCGTTTTCATAGCCAGCATCTACCTTCTGAAAAGTTAACTGAGAGGCCATCCATTTCCCACCAAAATTCCTGATGAGTGACTAACACACTGAGAAACCAACAGCGTGCCCTGCCGGTGTGGCTCGGTGGATACAGCTTCAGCCTGTGGACTGAAGGGTCCTGGGTTCGATTCCAGTCAAGGGCACAGGCCCGGGTTGCGGGCTTGATGCCCAGTGTGGGGCGTGCAGGAGGCAGCCGATCAATGGTTCTCTCTCACCACAGATGTTTCTCTCTCTCTCCCTCTCCTTTCCTCTCTGAAATCAATAAAAAATATATTGAAAGAAACAGCTCTACCACGTAAAAAAGAAAGAAACCAACAGCATGCTAGGATGGAAGGGACAAAGCTCCAGATTACTATCAAAACTGACATGATGTCCTCATCACTGACAAAAATACTAGCAAAGCTCTAGGGAGTTTTACAGAGTGACCTTGACAGCCACACCCCCTCACAGGGGAGGTCATGGCCGTGAGCACGTCACAGCCATACCGCGTCCTGCCCGGCCGGTGTGGCTCAGCGGCTGAGCGTCAACCCCTGAACCAGGTCACCAGTTTGATTCCCGGTGAGGGCACAGACCCAGGTTGCGGGCTCAACCCCGTGTGGGGCGTGCAGTAGGCGGCCGATCCATGATTCTCTCTCATCATTGATGTTTCTCTCTCTCTCACTCTCCCTTCCTCTCTGTAATCAGTAAAAATATTTTTTAACATCAGGTCTGCTGCTCACAGCGGTCATACTCTCCTGACCTGCCCACAGCCTGGAATCCCCAAAGTCTCGTCCACAGGGCACGGCAAACACAGCTCACACACAGCACTGCGTGGGGGAGGGGACGGGAAGAACACACGTGGGGATCCGAGGCGCCAAAGGGGGGCTGTTAACACTTTCCCTGCCGCCCACGCTCTGTCTGAGCCCAAGCACAGAACCTAAATGTTAATGGAGATTCCAGATGCGGAAACAGTAAGACACACTCGCGACAGGACGGACGTACAGTGGGATCCTTAATCCTGAAGACCGGACGGCACGGTGGCTACGTGTGACGCCAGCCGGTCCCTGGTCCAAGCGAGAGCCGGAAGCCACGGGCCACCTCTCCGAGCGAGACACGCACTGAACCCAGGGCCTGCACAGACACCTCCAGCCGGGAGAACGCCCGACCTTCCCATCCACACAGAATCGCTGGGTCTGGGCGGACGCCTCTGACCACGGCACCTCCAACAACCAGCATGTACATGTTTCTGATGACGCTTTAAGGAGCATCGACACGGACCGGGCACACACATGCACACACACGGCTGCCGGCGGAACGGCCGGCAAAGGCAGGCCGTGGCTCGTGGGTGTGGGCGGCTATCTCCCTGAGGGACACACACCTGGTGGGTCTGCCAAGTCTTTAGTATCAAGACTCGGAGGAGGGAAAGGGGGAGTCGCACGCACGGACGGGAGGCCGCAGAATAAACGAGCAGGCGAAGTGAGCGTCTGCAAAGTCTTTTACTTCGATGGAACAAGGAACAGCGCCGACGCCGTTCGCTGCCAGGTACACAGTATTCACGAGAACAGTGCTGGTCGTTGGAGGAAATGCACACCCTCAGGTTCTCCATGCTTTCTCTCTCTCTTTTAGAAAGATACTGTTTACCAAAAAGAAACGTCAGCAGTCCAGGAAAAACGATTTTCCCAATAAATGTACGAAAACCTAAGATTCCCAACGGAATCAAGATTATCTTCCCGCGATCACCACCTTGCAAACAATCGCATGCTTGTGGGGCACGCCCGTCCGCACCCCAGAGGACGTTCACGGTCGACGACGAGGGCGAGGCTCTCCGAGAACCCAGTGCGGCCGACGGCACACGGGTCTCCCAGGTGCTGAGGGTCCGCAGTGGGCAGCTAACACTGGATTCCATTTTATTGTATAAATAATTGTTCCCTTGGCGGTAAACCGGAGTCTACACATTCGCAACAGTCCTAGGAAATAAATACTGTGATTATGCACACGACAGGTCATGACAAAACTAGTTTCGAAGAACAAACAGCAGCTCGACACCCTTGATAAAAACCCTGATCGGAATCAAATGGGCACCTTCAAATTTCAAACATTGTCAAGGTCACAGCACAGCGAAAGTCACGTGGTTCGCACGAGGTTGGAGTCCCCAGTTCCAGAACACGTTTTCCAGTTGTGAATTAAAACAACAAACACGTTGGAAATGGTTGGTTTCAGGGATGACATCGGTTCTGGTCTGACTTTCGCGTTATTTTCTTTATAAGACGTTGCACTCAGTGTCCGTTCATGGTCTGACTGGTCTTCAGTATTTCATTAGTGCGTATAAAAGAAACTCCTAAAAACCGACAGTCCTTCACACGTGTGTATATATGTATACATAAAACAATCTCATCTCAGACATGGCTGTCATGGACAGAGCCACACACACTGATGCTAGACATGAGCGCTTCCACCTACAGACAGCGATTTCAAAATTTCACGTACATTCATTTGATCACAGTAAATATTCCCAAACTCAACGTGTGACAGAATATACATCTTGTTTGCACCCGAAGCTGACCACCACCGACATGTACAGTGTGACTGAAAGAAGCCAATGTTTAAAAACGTTTTAATTCAAGATAACAACCCCATGGGAGGAGGCGGGAGACTGGGAGGACAAGAAGTATTTGGTCTTCGTGAGGCGATACAAAACAGACCATTCTCAAAGACCATTTCGTTTGGAGAGATCGACAATACCAAAGCATCAGGTGGATGTAAGAAAACAGCTTCTGTCCGTGTGATTTCCTTAAAGCTGTTTACAGGTAGGTATTCCCTCCCACGGGGGCATCAACTTTAAAAAAGAGATAAGAGATGAGAGACAGGCAGGCACAGAGCCCGGGTGGGAGGCGCCGCGTGCAGAGTCCGCAGCCGGGGCTCGCGCGGCAGGTGGGGGACGGACAGGTGGCCTCTCGCCCGATCACAAGTTAAAAAAAACCCGCAGAGGAAACAAACATGGAATCTCATACCTGCCCACCGCCCAGCCGACAGCACGATGGGAGCGGGTGCCAGTTCATATTCGGAGATGAGCGAGCTGTTCAGTGTTTACACAAAAGTACATAGTACGGATATATATTCGTTTGTACAAAATAAAATCAATGTCATTTGCCACCATAAAAACCTTTACTCGAGGGAGGAGACGTGCTCGCGCGGCCGGTCGTGGGGGCCCCACTAGGTCATTCAACGCAGAGAGTCGAGTGCGAGAGCGAGTCACGTCCCTACGCGTGGGTGTTAGGATGACAATTCAGATTATTTTGCAAACTAATCCTGAGAAAAATCTGTTTACAATTTAAACAGTAATGTTATGTAAAAAGTCTTAACAAATCCACTATTACAAATATCAATTTCCTATGTGGTCATCTATATATACACACAATAAAATGGTAAATATATGCAAAAATATTTAAAAAACACATGCACAGACCACTTCCTCCTGGGAATCTGGGCTTCCTATGAGGCCTGTTCTCCTCCCCGTCCTCCCCCAGCCCCCCACCTGCTCCCTGGCTCTGCATGAAGCCAGAGAAACAGACCTACTTTACATTCAGGCTTGGAACCCGAAACGACCCTGTTGTAGCAAATGACTGGTCAAACGAGCAGCCTGCCCTGCTGGCGTGCGTTTTGCTTTTGCCGCCGTCAGTCTTCGTGATCCGTCCGTGACGAGCCGGGAAAACACACAGTTGCTCAATCAACACGTGGCTGGCGCCAGGCTCCTGAACGGTCCCGGGAGGCCCGGGCCGCTGTCCGGGCGTGAGGTCACCGCACACACAGGCGTCCGTGGCCCCGCCGACTACCTACAGAGGTCGGCGAGCGGGGCGTCCCTCTTGTGCTTCCTCCGCTTGCCTTGGAAGCACTGGTTAGTGGGTTTGCCTGGATGCGGCTTGTTTGCCACCAGGACACCATGGCTGGTGGGAGCTGTACCTGGGAAGCCTTTGCTGGAAGAACGGAAGAGCCGGGCGGGTCCGTGCTGCGGGAAGGAAGCGGGCAGAGACGTCAGTACCATGAGGCGCCCGCACGGCTCCCCCCACCCCGGGAGCTCTCAAGCCAGGGCTCTCCCCGAGCTCCGGAACTGGCGCTCTGTCCCTGGGGTGCCGAGCGAAGACCCTGCCCTCCCCGCAGAGCAGGTGGGCGCACTCCTCCCAGGAGCCTGCCAGCCAGGACGCCACAGAAGTGGCCCCGCGGGGCCCGGGCCTGAGGCCGGGCTGGTGAAGGACCTGCAGGTCAGCGCGGGGAGAGGTGGGATGGCCTCAGGCCGGGCCGGGAGCAAATGGCTTCTCCCCCATCAGGTGCCGTGCCCATGATGATACAACTTCAGGCAACAAAACAGCTTAAAATAGAGGCGCTCTGAGGCCTTTGTAAGTGAAAGCTGATGCCAAACACTGCCCATTTCAGCCCAGGCACCTGCATCGGCCATGAACACATCCCAGGGCCCGCTATTCCCAGGTGCGCCCGCGGCCACCGGTCACTCCAAGCTGCCCCTGCAGAGACTCAGGTGCAAGGAGACCCTTTACAGCCACTGCGGCCTCTCTGCTGAGTCTGGGGTGAGGGCGGCGGGCCCGGCATCGCACCAGGACCGGGACGGGACGCCCGGAGGTCTGTGTCCCGGGCCCTGTCACTAGAAGCCCGTCGTGCAGTGCAAGCTCTTAGAACCAAGCAGGTTAGCTCTCTAACCTGAGTCCCCTGCAAACCCACGCCGTACACGTGTAACTGGCATGTAAGAAGCTGGACCTGCGCTGCACTGAATGCTCCGTGATGCACACGTGTAACTGACATGTAAGGAATGACGATGCACACATGTAACTGTCATGTAAGGGACAACATACTCTGCACTGCCTGCTCACAGTGACACACGTGTAACTGGCATGTAAGAAGCTGGACCTGCGCTGCACTAAACGCTCAGTGACACACACGTGTAACTGACATGTAAGGGACGACATGCTCCGCACTGGCCGCTCAGTGAGAAGCGTGCTCACACACCTGTGACTTGCTGGCGCTGCTGGGTGTGGCGGGGGCCGGGGCGCTCTGCACCTTCCCCCCCGCCGGCGAGGCCTCCACGGCCACCTCCTGCGACCCCACTCGGCTCCCAGGGGACGGACGGCAGAGCAGCTGCTTCGGGGCTTTGCACGGCGTGGCGTCGGAGTCCTGACACAGGCCGCACGGGTACAATGTGGCATGTGAGTAACTTAGTCAACGTTCAAAAAGAAACCCATTCCAGCTAAGTGCTCCCGGGGCCAGTGTAAACATCTGGGAACTGAAGGACGCGCACAGAGGACTTTACGAAGAGCAGTGGTTAAGTTTTCCTCCGACACCGAAAGCGGCTCATTTCCCCAGAGGGTGTCTGTTCGCTCCTCCCGCCCGGGCACGTCTGCCTCCACCCCTGTGTCTGAGTCGCCTCGCTCGGCGTGGCCCTCCCAGCACCCAGGTCAGCTCCGCCCGTGAGGCTTAGCGCCCCCCTATGCCGTGCAGGCGCTGTCGGCAGGGAAACGGCGTCCTTCCCGCATTCAAGCCCTCTGCCTCCCGCCTCCCCAGGCCCACATGCAGCACTGGGGGGCCGTCTCGGGTCTCAGTGCCATAAACTGCATCAACCCGAGGGGCAGGGGAGCTGCGGGAGTGATCCCCAAAGTCCCCCGGGAAAGGCGGAGAGCAGAGCAGGCTGCCGGGGGTGGGAGGGGACGCGAGACGCCGACAGGCCTGCGTGGGTGAGGGACTGTGTCGGGACCAGCTGGTGACGGCTGTCCAGCACCGAGTGCACTGGAGGGAATCAGACGTTCTCAGCGTGCACCTGGCCTTACAGCCGGGCCGGTAACATCCCACCAGGGGGCTCCGAAGCATCTGAGGGAGGGGCCTCGCAGAGCGACGCACGCGCTCCACCTGCGGATGCCGACAGCGGCGGCCACCGCCTTAGACGCCCACGGGGACCCCTGGGTGGGGTGGGGGTGGGACTGGCTGATGGCGTCTCGGGGGACGCTGCCTCTCCCCCCTCTCGTGAGGGCTGGGTTCTCGTGTGCACGCATTCGTAAAAACTCCGTGACTGTACGAGATTCCCTATGTGTCCATCTCATGTCAGAAGCAACACTGGGACCACCCTGTGCTCTGGCTAACGGGGGGCATGCAGCACTCGGGGCGCCCAGTGACCTCCCCCAGGAGCCTGTCAGGGAAGCGGCAGGAAGGGAGCCCCGCTTCGTACCCACTGCGTGCGGGAGGGGCAAGCGCCATGTGCGCGGTGGGGCCCGGGCAGGGGCACGGACGTGCGTGCACGCGTGCGGGGAGCTTGTCGATGGTAACGCGACAGCGAGAAGCAGCGTGAACGCCTGAGATTCCCCAGTGACAACGCAGTGAGCGGCCCCCGCCCGCGCCCCGTACTCACCACGTCGCTGGAGCTGGACTGCGTGGCGGACGACGAGGACACGGGGCCCGACGAGGAGTTGGAAGAGTGCTTGCTGAGCGGCTCTGCGGTCTTGCCCCTGCATTTCCCGAGGGCGTCGCTCTCGCCCGAGAGGCTCCTGTGACATTTCTCCAGCTGCGGGGGCTCCACCATCAGGGTGACGCCGTTTCCTGCAAGGGGCGGAGAGTGGGAAACGTGTCTTCCCCGAGTCACGCCCCGGGGGACAGCGGGTGGGGACAGCGGCGACGGCGCGGGACTCACCGTTGCACGAGGGCTCAGGCCGGCTCGGCAAGCCCCACTGCTTGGAGATCCAGTCCCGGTAGGTGGCCACCTCGTCCGTCACCCTGATGATCCTGCCCAGGATGCTGCGGGCGGGAGGAGAGGGGGTGAGCCTGAGGCCGGAACCCGTCCTCCGGGGGGCCTGCCGCGAGGGGGGGGGGCGCGTTACCTCTCCGTCTCGTTGTTGGGGTAGTGCTTGGCGATGGGCGACACAGCGTGGCTCAGCACCACGTAGGCGTAGTCGAAGGCCTGCTTCACCTGCATGGCTCCATACGAGCTCCTCCCGACGTCATTGCCTGGGGAGAGGGGCAGGTCAGAGGGGCCACCGCTCCTCGGGGCTCTGCCTGCCATGCGGGCGATCGGGCCCCACAGAGCTGCCCTGGGACCCGGTGTGGACGTCCCGACTGAGCAGTTAGAACCCGGCCTGCCAGGCACCACCCCACAGGCTTCCTGCAAACAGGACCCGCCGGTTTCTCCTGCGAGAGCCCGGGCGACACACTCCTGTCCTCCCAGCCTGTGAGCACCGCCCACGGGGTCAGGAGCCCCGCACCGCAAGGCCGTGGCGCCGACAGTCTTTCTGCAGAGCAGGTCCCACAGACGGCTCCTCAAGGAGGAAACACACGGGACTCTTCAGTCACGAGATGCCCAGGCAGCCGGCAAAGGCCGAGGCCACAACTTCCCTCCCTCCCGCCCGCCCTGTCAGAGCTCACGCCCCAGGACAGGCGAGCGCAGTGCCCGAGACGACAGTGCAGGACAGCGGAGCTTCAGCCACACCAGGAGGCCCCGCTGCCCAGGGACCTAGGAGACGATGAGCACGCAGCCCCGGGAGCACAGGGGTGGGGGGACCACCCTTCTTCCCTCCCACCGCCCGATGCTGGGGCAGCGTGCAGGCCACGCACAACCGACGGGAGGGGAAGCTCAAGGAAGACCAGCCGCCTCTGAACCCATCGCTCACTCCGCTCGGGAGTCTGTTACTGGGCCACGGCCCCAGGACTCGAGGCCTCGCGCTGAAGCCGGGGGACAGCCCACAGCCCGGGGAGAGGAGGCCGGAGCAGGTCAAGGGTCAAGGGGTAATCGGTGCTGGAAGGAGACGGCACCGGGGTGAACAGCGCCACGTGCAGTGATGGCCTGCAGAACTGTGCCCCCGAAACCCATGTGGCTGCTAATGATGTCACCGTCCATTAAACTAAAAAATAAAAGCCCTGGTTGGCAACAGCCTGGAATTGGGTGATGAGGAGACGAGAAAGGAGACAAGTGGCTGTCAGAATGGAGACCAGACCCCCCCAGCCACACCCACTTCCACCCACACCACTCCCCACTCGCCCAGGGTCTGCAGCGTGTTTTCTGGTGTGTGTGTGTGTGTGTGTGTGTGTGTGTGTGTTCATGTGTTTCCGCTGGCGTGTGCTGACTTTCCTATATCTGCACATGAAGTATTCTGATGAACAGAAAATGTCCACATTAGAAGCTGATCCTGAATGTTTTGTGGGAACAGTGCCAACCGCCACACGGTGACCACGCCGCGCCCCTCCCCCGCCCGCCCACGGATTCCCTAATCTCAGTACCTGGCTGTAAAGGATCCTCGATGTAGAGCATCGACGGCCTGTAGCCATCCAGCATGTTCTTCTGAACTTCATCTTTGGCCACATATGAACCCCCATCCTTTATCCGGATGCCAGTCTTTAAATAATTGAAGTGCCGTCCATATAATTCAAAAAACTCTATCAAGAGAACACCATAGTTTGTGTTGGGGATGCAAGCATCTTCCCTGGGATGTAACTACAACCAGAAGGAGAAGAAAAGAAGTTACGTTGCACGTCCTCTGACTTCTCCGGGGGGTGACACATGACATCTGACTTCTACCCCCAGCACTGCCCGCTTCTGGTCTCGCAGCTGCGACACACACCCCGCCTCCCGGGCAGAGCGCTGGGCCGCTGGGAGGCTGGGCGGACGGC